TTTCTTTTTGGTTACCATGGGAGCAGGTGCATGTTCTTGCTTGCACATGATCCATGGAACACCAGTGTCAAGACCCACAGCCATTTTTGCTGCCCAAGCTGAATAAGCTTTACCAGGTGCACCAATTTCCCACTCTATTGGTCCATATTCATTTTCTATCTGCAATATTAATATAACAATAAATATAATATAAAATTGTGGATTCTTGGCTCATAAATTTTACTAAAATAAATAAAAACATAAATAAAGAAAAAAAAAAACACCAAATTTTCAAACCTGGGACATTATTATTGGTCCTCCTTGGGGCTCAAATAAATTTTCTGACTTCATCAAGTTGACAATTTTCTCAACAAATCCTTGCATAGCAGCCTTCATAAAAAAATAAAAAAATAAAATAATAATAATAATAATAACAATAATAATAATAATAATAATAATAATAATAATAGTAATAATAATAATAATAATCCACACCAAATATTAATTAATGATATATTAAATCCATTGAAAAATTAGGATATGAAAACATTTATTTAATAATAAACAAATATATTTTATTTATTAAATAAAATTAGCTCAAAAAGTGTCAAAACCTTAAAAGGCTCATTATCTGTTCTGAACTCTATTCCTGGTACATATTTCAGCCAAACAGGGAATCCCCTGCATCAACACAGACCAAATATTAAATTAAATTAAAAAAAAAAAAAACAGAGCATGCAAGAAATAAAATTTTTCCATGCCTCGGAAAAAAAAAAACGAAACTTATCACGTAATCGTGTGGATTGAGTGAATAAGTGTGCATATCATATGTACCCGAAATTCCATTCTGCACAAACGTAAGGGCCGATGCGCAGGTGGACGTAAAGCCCGGCCCTCTGCACGAGCTTGATGAACTTGACCAAATCAAACTGCCCCTCAAAATTATACTGCACACATAATGAATCTTATTTTTCCAACAACACAAAAAGAAAAATAATAATAATAATAATAATATATATTTATATATATATTCGTGACATGGAAGAAAGTATACGAACGTTGCCACGTGTCGGCTCGTGGCCATTCCAAAACACATAAGTTTGTATGACATCTAATCCTCCATCTTTAGCCTTCTGTATAAGATCAGGCCACATCTACATCCAACAGCAATATTTTTATTTTTCTCAATAAAAAATATTATATTATATCCAAAAAAACATGCATATATATATATATTTTGGAATATATGTGTACCTCAGGGGTGCTTCTTGGATAATGAATGGAGCCCGAGATGAGAATTCTGCGTTTGCCATCGATAACGAAGGCTTTATCGTCGTACGAAATCGTGGCTCCAACAGACAAGAAAACGGACGCCAAAAAAAGTAGCAATATCGAGATGCTAACCGGCCTTCTCGACATAGTCGAAAACTATCTTGATGAATGTGATGTAGAAATAAGAGAAATTATAATTGTTTTGGTGTGTGTGTGTGTGTGTGTGTGTGTGTGTGTGTGTGTTTGTGTGTTTTGTGCATGAAGAATGGTGTAAGCAGGTTTAAATAGATGGAGAACAAAAGAGAAAGGGGATTAGATTAGATGGAGGGGTTGGTGGGGCCCACTTGGTTGTTTACATTCTGTTAGGGTTTGTGGGGTTCTGTTGATGGGCTCACTCACCATTTTCAGGAATGGAGCTTTGAACTGAAGGTTTTGTTTTGATTTCTTTTATCTTTTTTTTTTTTTAAAAAAAAATAATAAAATAAATAAATAAATAATGAATATGTATATTTTGGTTGAGGAAAGGTGGGAGACTTAAAAATGTGGAAACTGAAAATGCCCCACTTCATCTCCATTTTTGTTGGTGTTTGTCCTGTTTTGCTATTGTTTTTTCAGTTTTGATTGGATATAGGTTGCAAGGTGGATCAATTAGTAGGATCTCAGTTAAGATATTGTTCTACTCTGGTTTCCCCCACCTTTTTTTTTTTTTTATTATTTTGGTATGATGGTATTGAAAATTTTATGTTGCCCATAGATACCAAAAAAAAGAAAATTTTGGTGATTTACTGCATATTAATATGTAAATGTTGCGGTCCCGTTACGGAACCATCCTATCGGGAGTTTTGATCGTTGGATATACTTGTAGTTAGTGTAAGATAGATGATCTAATGGTTAAAATGTCCGACGGGATGATTCCGTAACGGGACCGTAGCATTTCCTCATATTCACATATACAACTTAAACATGGTTCTTTTAAAAACATATGTGGTTTCGGGATTGTTATTTGAGTCGTACTATTCACGAAG